GTCACTTCTTGAACCAACGATACCAAAGACGATAGATAGGCATTGGTAGTGACATTACTGAGTGCTGTCCAAGATCACCAGATCTAATAAGTCCAGATTTCAATTTATGGGGCTATTTGAAAAGTGTTGTTTATGCACAGCAACCAACAACTAGGCAAGATATGATGCAACGCATCACAAAAGCTTGTAGAGCTATTCCGCGTCACGTTTTGTTGTCCACAGTCGAAAACTTCGAACGTCGAATTCAACACTGCATAAATTTGAACGGCGGTATTATTGAACATTTTATGAGATAAATGATTTTGTTACAACCTTGACCATAACTCTATCTGTAGTCATCGTATTGTCTTCATTGGCTGGACATTCCCAACTTGCCTTAATTGGCTGGGCATTCTCACCTTGCCTTAATTGTCTGGGTAATCAATACCTTGCCTTCATTGACTGGGTAACCAACGTCTTGTATTGATCGGCTCAGTATTCTCACCTTGCCTAGATAGACTGGACACTCCCTCTTTGCATACATTGGTTAGATTGGGTCACGTTACTAAATGTGGCACGAACAAACGTAATGATTAAATCAAAAACGACCTTGATAATCGAACTTTTATTTATCTTGGGATTGGGTTATTATTAGCATTATGATTATTATTATTATTATTATCATTATTATTATTATTATTAACCTCATCCTTGCCCCGGTGGGACAGGGGGGGGGGGTTGACCGCATCCCACACATAATATCTTACCTGAACGTAGAACTTCCCGCTCTTTCCGTATCCATGATAAAAAATGGGGGTTCTTATAAAAAAAATCACTTGGTTATTTGGTTATTGGGGTTATCGAGGCTGGATTATTATTATCATTATTATTTTTATTATTATTATTAGTTTTTTTTTTGTACAAGGAGTTGCGGAATCCTTTTTGCGGATTCCACTTAATCTGACTGAGGGGTTATGTAGGACTCCCCGAAAAAAAAATAGGCCTACCCACTAAACCGCCATCTCCTTGGTGTCCTTCCCCTAGCCAGGGACTATGTTGATATTACTTCTGACTGGAGGTTCTGTCTGTGTTCGTCCGTTCGTGTCGTTCCTCCGTATCTCGTTACGTCGCGTTACTTCGTCTGCTCAGTCATCTGTCAGGCAGCCGTCCGCGTTCTTACGTCTCAATATAGTTTCCGTATAGGTAGCGACTAAGTGCCACCATTCGGGTTCACGCAGCATCAGAGCCACGATGTTATCGGGGGTGATGCTGCCGACGGTTTCTTCCAGTTCCTGTCTGAGTCTTGTCCAGCGGTCACACGCGAAAAACGTGTATTCTGCGTCGTCTCGTTCGTGTCCACAGTACTTACAATTGGGTGTTCGTAGTCTGTTCATATTGTAAAGGTACCGTCGGGATTACCCGTGGCCCGTAAAGAGCTGGGTGACGTAGAAATTTAAATCACCAAATTTCTTTCCGAGCCACAGCCTCAAGTCCCGTATCAATCGTCTCCTCCAGTTACCACCCCGTTCCTCTGTCCATCGGCCTTGCCAAATGTCAATTGTCCTGTCGCGTTCAGCGATTGTCGCGTTCTTTCGTCCTATGTCCGCACTGCTCCCGTAGATCCTTTTGCGCTCAAAGGCCAAAAGATTCAGGGGTATTACGCCAGCCACCACTAAAACAGCCTATGCATAGACTGTTCGGTAGGAGCAAGCGATTCGCAGAGCACCCTGTCTCTGTATGACCATCGCCATTGTCTTACAGTACTTCTTTGTATAGAAGAATCGAGTGAGCTGTCACCATTAGCAGTCGCCGCTTTCCTGGTCTCGGTTCCGTCGTGTTTGCCATCAGGCGGCTCAAGGATGCTATCCTCTCTGCCGCTTTTCGGGCTGTCTTCTGTATGTGAGGCCAGAAGGTCATCTTCGTATCGAGGGTTACCCCAAGGTACTTGACTTCCCCCTTGGTCTCCGTTTCATATGTACCCACTCTCATGGGTAGTATCGTCTGTATGCGTCTTTTCGTGAGAAGCATAAGTTCCGTCTTTTCTGTTGCGAGTTGCAGTCCGTGTTCTGTCATCCATCGTCCAACTCGTCTCATGGTCTGGTTCAACGTCAGCTGCGCCAGCTCGGGAGATCTCTCCGTGATCACCGCCGCCACGTCATCAGCGTAGGCGACGAGGGTCACTCAGAGTGGCATCCCAAGCCGAAGCAGACTATCGTATAGACCATTCCAAAAGTCGGGTCCCAGTATCGACCGCTGAGCCACTCCAGTGGTGACCTGTCTCGTTACCTGTCCTTCGATCGTCTCGTACGTTATTCGTCTGTTTCTCAGATAATCCTCCACAACCCGAACCAGGTACGGTGGGATCCGAAAGTTGCTTTTCAGCGCCTCCAAGATATCCACCCACCTGGCCAAGTTAAAAGCATTTCTGATGTCAAGCGTCACTAGCAAGCAGCACAATGGGTCGCGCCGCATGGCAGTGTCTGTCTAGTTCCAGGAAAGAATCGATCACCTTTTGGATCGCTCCAATCGTCGACCGACCCCTCCTGAAGCCGAATTGCAAATCTGAGAGACCCCCTCCGGCCTGTATCGTGTCCGTCAGTCTCGGTCTGAGTAATTGTTCAAAGAGCTTACCAGTAGTGTCAAGTACACTCAACGGTCGGTAGGCCGAAGGCGTGCCAGGGTCGCCCTTACCTTTTGGAATAAGAACGAGCCTCGCCTCTTTCCACCGATCGCTGAACGTTCCTGTCGTCAAGCACGTATTGTACAGGTCGAGAAGTATCTCCGGCCGTAGACGAGCCGAGCCGGAGGATCTCGGATGGTACTCCGTCCGGTCCCGGTGCCTTACCCGTCTTCATCGCATTCGTTGCTCTGATGAGTTCCTCAGCGGCAAAAGCGGGGGGCATTTGTGCGTCCACGTCATCCATCACGTATGTCCTAATCGGGTGCGTCGGAAACAATCCGTCAACAATCCGTCCTGCTGTTTCGGCATCTTTAAGTTCCGGTGAGACTCGGGCCCCTAGTTTTCCGGTCACAATCTTGTAGCCGGTTCCCCAGGGATCCTTGTTCACCTCCTCGCAGAGCTTCCTCCAGCATCGCGTCTTGCTGTCCCGTATTGTTTTCGTCAGCGTCTTCCGTGCTGTTTTGTATATGGCTTGGAGGTTTTCCCTTTCGAGTCTACCCCCTGCCCTTGTCATTCGTCGCCGATTTGCCAGGCATATCTTGCGTAGCTCGGCTATTTCGTCCGTCCACCAGTATTGTGGCCGTCTTTTTTGTATCTGCCGTCGTTTCGTCATTGTGCTGGTGCACAAGCTATTTATTAATTTTGCCGTCTCGTCTGTCAGTCTTTCTGTTCTTCGCCGGCCCGTTAGCTCAGAAGGAATCTTCGACCACGGGGCTGATGCCGCTATCAACTCCTCCCAAAATTTTTGTCGGTCAAGTTTGTTAAGGTTCCACCGCGGGGGTTGGTGGATTCTCGTTTGTCTCGTTTCTGTCCGTCTCGCCACTTTGAAGACGATGTATTGATGGTCGCTGGCTGTATAGTCCTCGACCACCCGCCACCCCTTCAGCCGTGGCAGGATTCTGTCCGACATCATCGTCACGTCAGGGATGGAGTCTCCAATCCCTGGTCGTCTGTACGTCGGCGTGTGTCCCGTATTTACTACTGCTAGGTCCAACCTTGCGGCCATTTCTAGCAGCAGTCGTCCACGTCGGTTCGTTTCGTTCATTCCCCACTCGATCGCCTCGCATTAAGATCCTCCGCAACGATGACATCTCCGGGCAGGTCCCTGATCCCGTCTTCTAACAGCGTCGCCTTCCTTTCAAACTCCGCCGCAGTGCAGTTGGGTGTCAGGTAGACGCTGACATAAGTGACAGCGCCGACTGTAGCCCAGACGTAGTCGTCCCCGAATCCGCGGTTGGAGACTCTAAATTGAGCGGCGCCCCCTACCGCAGATAGCGTCGGCTATCTGCGGTAGGAGCATGTCAGCAGTCCTACTTCTGTTGAGGTTTCCTTGTACTACTCTGTCCGTCTTCCGGCACGCCTCCTGCACTCCTCCAGCGCGGCCCGGAACACGGCACACCTGCCGTTTCCGGCGAGGTGAGCGACGCTCCCATGCCCGGCCTCGGAGGACAGTGGGCAGACCGGTTCTCCTTTGCATTCCGTCGCGTAATGTCCGGATGCGCCGCATTTGCGGCAGCATTTCGTCCTGTCCTTGCCTGTGCATTCAGCTTTTACATGGCCGAAGCCCAGGCATCTGTAACATTTTGTCACCGTCAGTCGTTTCCGAACGCGGCAATGCACCCAGCCAATTCCGATCCGACCACGCCGAAATTATTATTATTATTATTATTATTATTATTATTATCATTATTATTATTATTATTATTATTATTAAACTCACTCGCTCTTTCCGAATCCATGATAAAAAATGGGGGTTCTTATTAAAAAAATCACGTTGTTATTTGATGATTAGGGTTATTGAAGTTGGTTTATTGCGTTATTGGGTTATTTGAATTTTTGGGTTATTAAAATTAATCTTACCCTTGCACGATCATCCCTGTCCATAGATGATGAAAATAATAAATTTGACCCTTACGTGACCTTCCGCAGGAGGAGGGGGGTTAACCGCACCCCACACATAATACTTTATCTGAACGTAGAATTTCTCGCAAAATATGGCTAAAAAATTCCTATTCGAAAAATTACTTTAACCTTTGAATGACCTTGAAAATAAATCTCAAGGTTAAATCCGATTTCTGAGAAAGGGGTCCCTCATTGTCTCAAACAATTTTCACTGAACAATTTTTTTGTAGAATGCCAACCATCGAAAATTGTGGAGTGGTTCTTTTAAAATGGGTCACCCTGTATATTAATGAATATTGTACATTGACTGCCATACAACGTACATACAAATGTTCTTATTTTCTTGATTAAAAAAAATCTATTATAAATAAATTTAATCAATTTCAATATATAGACATTAGTTATCTACAAATACTGTAAAGATCTTGTTAAAGCTTACCTTCCCATGATTTGTGAAACCATGCTTTTTAGCGATAAAATCTGCTTCGGTAGCTCCAGCTGGTATATGTACAGCAAACTCATTTGAAAATATAGGTAGTGGTCGTGAACGAATCCTTGATTCTGTATGTAAAGAAAATTCTAAAAAAACTCCAAACCATACTAAAATTATTATTTTGTAACTCATTTTTAACTAGTAGAACTTGAATAATTAAAATGAAGTATATTTTATCCAACTAAAGATGAAATATTAACATCTCAAAAATATTCGTTATTTTGATGTAGAAATATTCGTCATCCTCGGGACATAGATATTGTATAGAACTTTGTCTTCGTCCAGAATTGTTTAAACTATCTTATGTATACCTTTATACCTAGTTAATATGAACTGCACTAGAAAAATGGATGAATCGATTGAGCATGAACATTTTCTGAATGGTCAATATGATGCTCACGTAGAATCTATAACCTGTAAAAATTTTAAATAAATTTTTATTGAATTTATTTGGTATTATTATACATTCAATTACGCTGAATATCTTTTAAATTATTATTATAATTGGTGTTGTCTTATTTAACTACAGTTTGTTAGCAAGTCAGTTTCAATTTAGTTGTTAATTACTTTATTTGAAATTTCTTTTATGAAATATTATTTTCCATACTACTGAGTTGAAATAATTAGATAAATAATTAAATTTCATATCGGTAAAAGTAAAAAACATTTTACTTTTGTAATAAAGTGCTGAATTCTAACTAATAAACTTCCGACTCCTATTTGATCTTTTCTATGAAAAAGTTGCTACACTTTTTTACATAGGAATCGAGTTTTGTATTAATATTACTTTTAAGATAAGAATATTTGTCTGTAAAATTATTTAAAAACTTTATAAGACGATTGTCTTGAAACTGTTCCTTCATTCATTGTATTTTACGAAAGATGTTGATGAAATGAAATTGACAATTCTAAATGTATTTGCCAAATTATGAAGAGTTCAATACTTATTATATATTGTATCAAAATATGAACGAATTAGACATTGGGACGATGGTAGCAATCGAATGAACATAGAAAGTCTGTGACTGTAAATAAAAAAACACTATTTATTTAAATAATTCCAATTTATTTTCCTATAAAGCCCCCTTTTAACCCTACGTATATTGTTTATAGCGGTGGTCAAGCTTTTCTATGGCTTCTGAAAAGTAATTTTTATCAAACTCCTCAAAATACTCATTTATCGCAAAAATTACTTTGTTGGATAAAAATATTTTTCCGCAAGCCAAATTTTCATGTCAGGAAACAAAAAATAACCGGAAGGATCCAAATCTAGAGAATAAGGTGAATGAGGAAGTATTTCATAGGGTAAATCAAATAATTTGTCCGTTGCAATGAAACTCGTGTGAGCTCATGCATTGTCGTGGTAGAAAATAACTTTTTTTTCGCTAAATGAGACCGCCTTTCCATAAGTATGGCATTAAATTGGTCTAATAATGAGATATAATATTCTCCTGTAATAGTTCTTCCACTCTGTAGGTAATCGATTAATGTTATACCTCTTGAGACCCAAAAAATTGTAGTCATGACTCTTCAGGCTGATCATACTGTCTCCGCTTTTTTCGGCGCAGATTCACCTAGCTTAGTTCACATTTTTGACTGATTTTTCGTTTCTGGCGTATAATAATGAATCCATGTTTCATCAACAATAACGTAGCATCGTAAAAACTCCTTTGGATTACGTTGAAACATGCTCAAACACTGCTCAGACGCAAGCAAACGAGTTCGCTTGTTATCAGCTGAGCAAGCACGACATCCATCTTGCAGACAACTTTCTCATGCCCAAACATTCATGTAAAATGTTCCATGTGCATTCTACTGAAATGTTAAAAGCCTCACTTATATCACGTACTTTCAATAGACGATTGGCGAATACAATATGATGAACTTTTTTAGTAGTCACCTCTTTTAGACAGTCAGGACCCTCAGCATCAATTGTGCTCCTACTGGTACTACGAAATTCGGTAAACCGTTTTTGAAATAATGATTAATAAGTACACGATTAATTGGTACACTCATTTGACCATAAAAAATTTTCGAACCAACGTACTGATTTTTTAATTTGTATATGCACTTATACTAGATGGGACTCTCTTACAGTGTAAGATACGTTACGATAATATAAAAGTTTTCAAGTCATCCATCACTATATCCGCAAACAGTTCAGAAATTGGAGATTTCATTGGTGTTTCAAAAATTTGATGGTAAATAACATTGTTAAATTGAAAAAACGTATTGTGGAACAAAAATTCAAAACTATCAATAACGTCAGTAATCGGTTTCTTAGAATTAAAATAGATTTGCTGGAAACATTTATCTAAATTTTAATAGTTAGACTTTCGAAAGTAATAAATGAGTAATAAATGACATTCAGTGAAACTAGAATACATCCATTTGAAATAATTAGTGAATTAAATTTTTTTATTAACTGAAAACTATTATTAATATGAGATTGAGGTTTTGAAATACATTTTTTAAGTTCTTTATGTAAAATTTTTAATAAGAAATTAGTTGGGCTATTAATAGTAGAAATGATCGATCTGACAGTAATGCCATGTTTATGAATCTTATGCAGAACATAGGGCTTTACATTTGCCGTATCAGATTAAGTGAAACTTTCATTACTATATTTGATATCTAAATAGTTATTTTCATAAAATTTACGAAAAATCTTATGTACCTTTGTCCGTAAGGCTGGTAAAGTATTTTCTCTTTATAATTTTGTATGTGTTAGAATCGTTAAATAATACATTTATTTTTGCAATATAATCTTTTTTATTAAAGCAAAATGTAATATTCCCTTTATCTGCACGTGTAAAAATATATAAAAATTGGTTTTGCAAAATTATTTTGTGTAGCTTAAATCTTTCAAAAATTGTATTTCTTACTTTGTTAACAACAATGGTCGTCTTTTAGCCACTTGTACATTTTTAATTAATATCTCAATATATCTTGTATAGCAGCATCATTATAATTTTTTAAGCTAACTTCAAAATTCATAAATGTATTGACAATATTACGTCTCGATAAGGTTTACACAGGCAAGATCGAAATAAGGACACCGTAAATTTGTATGTCTTTGTTGCTGACTCCGTGAAAGAGCTCTTAAAAAAGTCTTTTCAAGAAGTCGAGTGACCAAGGTAGGTGAAATTAGTTAATACTGCAAAAATTACAACTGATTCATGAGCGCGCGCTAGACGTACGAGGGTGGTCCGATAAGTACTTAGACTACAAAAGAAAAACGAAAATTTTGGAAAAGTGGCGTTTTATTTTTCAACATAGTCTCCTTTTAGTTCGATACATTTGGCCCAGCGATGCTCCAACTTCTTTAACCCGTCTCAAAAATACGTTTCCTCGAGGTCTGAAAAGTGGGCTTCCGTGGCAGCGATTACCTTCTCATTCGACTCAAATTTGTGCCCGGCGAGTGACTTTTTCAAGTTTGGAAACAAAAAGAAGTTATACAGGGCTAAATCTGGAGAATACGATAGATGGGGCAGCAGTCCGTAGCCTAATTCGACCAATTTGGCTATGGCGACGGCGGAGATGTAAGCCGGTGAATTGTTATGGTGGAAGAGCACTTTTTTCTTCGCCAAATGGGGCCATTTTTTCTGCAGTTCAACATCGAATCGGCCCAATAATTTAACATGATACAGCCCTGTGACCGTTTTGCCCCTCTCCCGGTCGTCGATGTAGATCACACCTTGTGAATCCCAGAAAACGGTGGCCATCACCTTTCCGGCCGATGGGTCAGTCTTCGCCTTCTTCGGAGCACTTTCGCCGGGTAAAGTCCTCTGTTTCGACTGTTCCTTGGTCTCTGGTGTATATCAGTAGATCCATGTTTCGTCGACGGTCACAAAACAACGCAAAAGTTCCTTTGGATTGTGCTTAAACAGCGTCAGACACTGCTCTGAAGTTGTTTCACGGTTGCGCTTGTTGTCCGGAGTGAACAAACGCGATACCCATCGCGCCGACAGCTTTCTCATGCCTAACATTTCATGCAGGACATGACTCACACGGTCTTTTGAAATGCCTATGATCTCAGCTATTTCGTACACCTTCAATCATCGATCTGCCAATACGAGATCGTGAAATTTTGTCACGTTATCCTCCGTGGTAGCCGTTTTCGGAGCACCTGGGTGTGGCTCATCAAAAACCGACGTGCGACCACGTTCAAACTCGTTAAACCAATTTTTGACGGTCGCCATCGAAGGAGAAGAGTCACCGTACACAGCATCCAAGCGCTTTTTGATTTCGCTGCGCGATGTCCCTCCCAAAAACAAGAATCGAATCACCGACCCATAATGATCTTTTTCCATTTTTCTAACACGCCTGCTTCCACATGCGATCACAACAGAACTTTAAGTCCGATTGGACTGAAATTTTGACCGTAACCATCGACAATGTTTTACTACATGGTAGTATATTTCTCTTGCAAGAGTGGCGCCATCGGGCAGTGAGGCTAAATACTTATCGGGCACCCTCGTAAAATGAATCCGCCTGCGCGAACGTCAACAAGAGCAGAGTGCACTACCTCCACATGTCAAATATTTAATTTCTGTCACTCGCAATGAGCCAAGATAGGGAAATTAGCACTTCCGCGATGTATTTTTTGTCATCCATAGTCAGTTTAGCTCGAACATCACGACCAAGTAGTACAACTCTCTTTCGATAAGTGTTGAATAAGATACCGCTCAGTTCTAAGTCTATCTTTCTGTCATACTATTTTCTGAGAAATAAATGTCTAATCACACACGTACAACGGGAAGTTTCATGCATTCTCATTTTATAATTGGCGTTTATTCTGCCAATCCCGCGACGAACTTGTATACTCGTAAGTATGATTGGCTGAGAATAGCACATTCAAGTAATCGATGTCGCATATAGAAGGAATTACATAAAATTCACAATATTTCAAATAAGGAAGCTGAGGCGCAGTCACTAATAAAGAAAATATCAAAGCCAGCGGAACATAAAAAAGGAAAAATAATAAATCCAACTAACCAACTTTATTCAACACACCAATCAGTATAGGTAACGAGAGTTAACATTTCTCATTATCTGAGGTTACATTTTTGTTATTAATTTATTTGATTTACAGCATTTTTGCTAATTTTATTACTTCAACGTTATTGAATACTATACTATTTCATAGTATCAAATTCGTATTATTCCATAAATGTTCGCTATACGCGTGGACACGTGAATTATTCCCTTACAAAGTAATATAAAAACAAGACGTAACAACAATATTTAATGTTGAAAGAGAAGACTTGATATTAAAATTTTTACCCATGGATACAACATTGATTACTTTAGATGAAATGTGAATATCAGAAAAATCACTCCTTACTAACATTCCAGAAAGTTTAACTATTAGAAGTTTAGAAAACGTTTCCAACAAATCTATTTTAATTCTA